CTTTGGCAGAAATAGATGAGAAATATCGAGAAGAAACAGAAACTGAACGTGAGAACAAGTTGAGTCTTCTGGAAAACATTCAAAAGCAAATTAACCAACTGACAGCAGAGAAGTCACAGTTACTGGATGAGTGCTATCAACATGTTGTCAGACTGGAGGAGATCGCTCTGAAAGCTGATTCAGAGTCCGATATTAATAACTTGGACTTCCTGATTGGGGAGATGAAGGAGATAGGAGACACAGAGAAATTTCAGAAACTGGAGGAGATGAGAAGCAGGATGTAGCAGAAGCAGGACGAAGGAACCAGAAATTCTCTGCATTAGGTGAACATCATTCATAAGCTCCCAACTCCTACATCAAATCATTTTACATGTTAAAATATCTACAAACAAATGTAATGTATGAAGAATTCTTAAAATGTAATTACCTAACAATGAATAAATAACACATCCATCTTCTTCTGCTTATCTGGTATTAACCCCAATTCTTTTGTCCCCATGATAGAACAGAGAAAACCTGACTCATAGTGGTCAAACATTTATAATTGTTTATTTAAATGGGGGAGTATAGCTGCCTCCACTTACATTCACTTCATATGGGACAGATGTGAGGCGTGACACAGAACACTAGACAGTGGTTTAATTGTATCAGAGCAGGTTTTAATGTTCCGATAAAAGTAAAATGTCACAAACTCCTCAGGGACAATTCTCATGTTTTCATGATTATATTCCTTCATCTGTGCATGTGTATAACCCATCTTATGGAGTTTAAAGAGGACACTGAGATGAACTGTGAGTGTAGAATTAAACGAGTGGCTGGAATATGTTGAAAGTATTTCACTGTTTTGTCTTTTTTTTCTAAAAGCTTAAGCACTGATCAGTCATTTGTATGATCTGTGGGGCTCAGGCTTTAAATGTGGTAATGTGTAGGCCTGCTCCTGCTGCCTCTCTCTTACTAGGTCAGTAAATATCAGCAGTTATATATATTTGCAGTAAAGTAACATAGAGATTCATATATTATTGTATATGAATATATTACTGATGGGACATGAGGCGTGCTGAAGGCAGCCAAGCTGGGGCCAGACTCAAGGTCAGATGAAACGTGTCACGTGCAAACTAAAGCTTTTCTGCTGCCACCTACTGGCTCTTATTCTTTTGTGACTTTTTCCACAGTGCATACACTCATTGGCCAGATTTTTAGGCACACCTCACTAGGTGTGCTAGGCCAGGTGAATCTCAGAGAACATAAAAATAATCCATGCACATCCTCTTCACCCTGTGGGGTAGGTGCAGATAAGGAGCGGGTATGGATGAAACATTACTAAATGCAATAAATCAGGGATCAGGAGTTCTGCTGTGTGCAAACTATTATTTCCTCTTCTTTGTTAAAAGGAATCTTAGAAATAAACAGCAGTTTTTTGTGACATTCTATATATATAGGGTTAAATGTACAAATTGATCAGATTCCTCCATCATTTAAACTCTTACTTACTCATACTCTTCTGTCAGTTTCGTATTTCAACCGATAGCTGCACACTTGTTTTATTTTCTGGGCCTGTCTTCAGTTATTGGAACAGTTCAGTGTCACTCGATGGCACAAGACAGTTTTAGCCAGTGCTTGTTGTTTTTTTTGTCTGTGGATGTTATAGCAATGCAACTATTTAAACTATTTATTTTGAATTGAGCAGTTATTGATTCTTTTTAATTAAAGCATAGGTGTCAAACTCTGGTCCGCGGGCCAAATTTGGCCCACAGCCTAATTACATTTGGCCCGCAAAGCCATACCAAATTATTATTAGAGCTGGCCTACTGGTATTATACAGCTAATATATATATTGT